ATTCTCTCTAGACTTATGTGGTCTAGAATTAAATTTCTATACTGAGTAATACATAAATTATTGTAGTTATTATGTAGTAATACATAAAATTATGAGTTATTGTTAATAGGCTGACTTTTGATTTAGCGGTATAAGACTCTTGTTTTTTTACGTGTTAAAAAGAGTAGTGAAGACGCTCATAAACGTTTGAACAATGTTGACAGTCATTGTGAACACGTGATGTAAAATAAATTTTGGTTGACTGGCTTACCTGACTGTTTTGTTTTACTTAAAGTGCCTTAAAGTCCGGTGCGCCTTATATGTGGAAAAAGTTTGAAAATAGACCACTGATTGACGGTGCGCCTTATAATGCAGTGCGTGTTATAGTGCGGAAAATACGGTAAGTTTTTAATTCAAGATCTAGCCTCCAAATTGAGATTGACTGAGACAGATAATTGACAAAGAAGTGAGACATACAAATAGCGCTGAGATGTTATGCAGGCTGAAATTGCTTTGTTTCACTGTTTTTGTTGTAGCCTCCAAACACACGGGCATTGAAAAGAGGCGCTTGCCAGTTTGCTGTAGTTATAATAATAATGTTAAGTAGGGCACCTGTAACTCTGCTTTCACTGGAAGCTCTGCTTAGTCGTACTTATGCCTAGTTGACTTCTCAACAGCTGTACGTTTGTATCCTGCTATATCAGGACGTCACTTTGGACAAAAGCTTCTGACAAATAAAAATAAATGTAATTGTGATGTGCATTGTGGATACAGCTGTGACTGGTTATAATAAAATCCCCCTACCTGCATGCTCATCAGTGACACATAAACAGGGACAGGATGATTTACTCACCTCGTGTCCTTTGCCCTTGAATTTCACGCTGTCAAATAAGGTCCGGAGGGCTGGAAGTCCCCTTTCGGAGGTGAGCCTTAAAGCACAATACACAGTGGTAGTAAAATTCAAAATATTAAAATCATTACAGAATGTCATCACACACTTCAAGCATCTAAAGCTGTCTGCAGGCAACATAACTTGCCAAACTGTCATATCAAAGTAATGAAAACTTTACAGAAAGACAGAATTATTAAAACTAACATAACCATCATACAGAATCCAGTATCTAGTGCAGAAGGTAATAGGAGGGGGAAGAAATTTAAACAATAAAAAACACAAAACCTTAAAAAGTGCTTTGATGGCTTATCCAACTGTCCACTTCAAGCTAATTTTGCGTTCAGTATAATGCCGTCACGACTCAAACATCCTCACCTCTGGGCGTTCAGCTTGGGTTGGGGCCGCCTCACGAATCTTCTCTTGGCACCTGGAGCTTCTGCCATCTCTCCATTTCCTTTTAATGAAACCAAAAATAGAGGAAAAATGTAACAAAAACACACACAAATTTGGTAAAATTATATTAAACCTAAAATGCTACAGCCATTCGTCTTCACGCTATCCTCCACAGGCACTGGTGGTGTGAATGATGCATAGTGAAGGTGTCCTCACCATTAACCACAGCGTCCCCCTCTCCATCATCCTGTCCTGGGGACAGCGGGGGCGGGAACGGGGGAAATGCCTCATCCTCCGTGTTTTCATAATCCGGGATGTCAAATAAATTGCTCTCCATCGGTTCAGCCATAGCACGGCAGACTTCCAAGAGGCTCCTGACTGGATAAACAGGACATCGATCAGACTTTCTTGCTCTGTAACAGGGGCAGGCAGCCCTGATCCTGGACTGCAGGTATCCAGCAGGTTTTCTATCCTACCTGATGAGTTACTATCTGCCTGAGATCAGGAGTGGTTCATCAGAGACCAGGTAGGATGGAAAATCTGCTGGATATCGGCATTCCTGGATTAAGACTGCCTACCCTTGTATAATAAATGGACAGCATGACAAGAAATCAAAATAGTTAAAATGGAAATCCGGAGAGCAGTCCGAATGTAAAAAATCACTATAAAGACAATTATAGTAATACAGATATTTTAGGAAACCGTGATTCAAATGAATTTGTGATTTTTAACTTGCAGTCATAACCCTACCCATGGCACATGTCCCCGCCGTATGAACAGTGCCATTATAAAGTTCGGCACGTTAAAAAGGAAATTGTTCTTAATTTACGTAAGATTTCCATCATTTTAAAATGCACTGAATTTCCCTGATTTATATACAAACAGGAGCAGAGCCGGTTACAGGGAATTTAAGTTCAGTCAGAGCCCGGGAAATCGGTCTCCTCTTCACGCAAAACAATACTGGCTAGCCAGCGGTACCTCAATAATTTACACACTATTATCGGGAGATTATGTCATATGGACAACGAGACCTTTTAATGAAATGAAATGGAAAAAATGTTCCATATTCTGTGCTATGTATAATGTGAAGACAAATCGTGAAAAGCACTTTTTTCTCCCAACAGAAACATTTGCTATTCAACTTCAGGACAACTCCGCGCGCCGGACAGGCGAGGACCCCAGAAACATAAAGTAACGCAGTCCAATGCAGAACTGGATTAAAACAGCCATGAAGAACGCATAAAGTTGTTAATTATGACATTAATTATGCTTTATTTCTAGTAAAACAACCCAATACGCATTTACCTTTAGTGTAGCCTAGCCGCTACCCGCTCGTGCGTATGCTTGACAAACAACCAATGAGGTACTTACACCGACAATCACAACCAATCACATAGCGCAGCAGTTTGTCATCCAATAGTATTTTAGACCGGTACGCGCTAACCTATAGAAAATGAAACTTTTTCAACGTGTTTAACATAGAATAATAACTCGAATACTAATTAAGTGGGGGTTACTGTATCCCCTGGCTATTTATTCCATGACTTCCACCGCGATTTAAGGAAGCTGTTGTTCTCGTGGAGCACCGACAGGGGATACTCTTCTCCCACGGGCATCTTTTGGTGACGTGCGGCTTTCGGGATCAGCTGCTGCTGCTGCTGCCCACCCTTCCGCCCACCTCCCCACCTACCCGTGAATCGCGTCCGAATGTGCCAGCCCTGCTTTTCGACCTGACCTGCAGACAGCCTTTCAGTCCATAAATCTGTAGCAGGTACTGTATGTACTCTTAAAGGGTTAACTACTGATCACCGTTTCTATTGTATTTTGGGTGGGTTTAGACAGTTAATCCACTTCCGTCTCATTCCTCGAAGGCGTCTTTCCTCTGCAGAAACGCAGCTCTAATTTAGCCAGACAGAGCATAGTCTAAGTTACTTGTACAGTGGGTATCAGTTGCTACTGTTGACAAGTTAGCAGCAGTGGTTTTTGCCGGTGACAGACATGCAGAAGAGAAGGAAGCCTGAACCGATCCAGCTCAAACCGATTCCGGATGGCAACGCTGTCAACGGAAACAGTGCTACAGAGTAAGTTATCTAATATTCATTGTCTTTTAAAAAGGATGTGTCTAAAGCACAGAATTCTTTTAAAAACAATGGCTATTTTCTTCTTCAAAATATACCTGAATAAGTGGATGTAAATATCTTATTTTTCCATAATTAATTTTCTATAATTAAAGACTTCATCTCTATATGCATGTCTATCTATCTATCTATCTATCTATCTATCTATCTATCTATCTATCTATCTGTCTGTCTGTCTGTCTGTAATATAAAGAAGAAATGATCAGACAACAATGCAGACAAAATAATTGATGGGGACCAGCCCCAGCCTATGAACTATAACTTTGTCAACTGTAAAATGCAAATAGAGACTCAGTGGCCAATTTATTAGGTACATCTTCTTGTGAATGCATAGAGCCTGCTCATACAAACAGTGAATCATGTTGCTGCAACTGAATCCATACAGTATGCAGACAGAATCAAGAATAACAGCCCAGTACGACACTGGCTTGCAGCCCCAAATGCACAGCTCAAAGGGGGATCCTCACTGGTGCCATGCAGAGGTACCTAAAAAAGTGGCCACTTAAGGTTTATTTACCTTTTAAGTATTATCACACGACGTAACAAGATTCCACATGGGGAAAAGGGGCTGCAACCTGCAATCTAATGTCAACATAAACTAACAGAGAGGGAGTGAGAGAGTGTCAGCTTTTCTGAGAGCTGTGTGCATTTTTGATCACCTCCTTTTGAACACGAAACGCTGGGAGGATAAGCAGCAGATGATGTGCTTTCCAGCGCTCCTCCTGGCCTGCAGGGGAGTTCCAGCAAGCCGACAGTGTCTCACGTAGCCCGGGTTTACCATCACGGTTAGAGCTGCACTGGTGCAGAGTGCGGACGACGATGCATTGGTGTATAAGTCGACGACGATGATGGTAATTCACTGTTGTTATAATAGAATAGTGTAGGAAAGGTAAATGTAGCCTTTGTGAATTACTGTAGTATAGTTAACTTATATGGCATCACTCTTGACTGTTACATGCTTCCCCTCCCTCTCTTAGATAAATACATTTCAATAGAAATTTAAATGGCTGGGGCAGCACAGTGGCTTCTGGGTAATATTTTTGCTTCACATATCCTGCCTGCGTCCCATGTGTGCAGCTTGCATGTTCTCCCCATGCATCTTATTATGCAGGATTCTTCCCGCAGTCGAAAAACACGCCACTAAATTGACAGTAGTGTGTGCGCCCTGCGCCGGACTGGCATCCCATCCAGGACCCACCGCTGCCCTGTGCGCTGTGCCACCTGGGACTGTCTCCAGGCCCCCATGACCCCGGAGTGCTAGGAAGATGGATTAATGGATGAATGTAAATGTATTTGTGCATATATTCCACTTGTTAGCCCTCGGGTTCTTCCTGCTACTGGTACAGGAGTAAACAGTAATAAATCAAAAGCAAATCACTCGGTTTTGATTTATTGCACCTGTCGCCAGACCCATATTTGGGGAGCTCATGTAATAGTCCTCTGTAGGGCCTTAGTGGGCGTATGGTGAAGAGCGGGGACAGTGAGGACCGTCCCAGTACGGGTGTAGATTTCGTTCCTGCTGCTGATACAAACACTGACGGACCATGCGGTGTAAATTCCGCTGAGTTCTCTGCATAGCATCACTGTCTCCTCACTTCCTCCTTTCCCTCCGACAGCTCTGTGTAGCGGCATCGCCGCTCGCATTCCTCACGTTTCGCCAGGCCAGGCTGCAGCATGCTGGGCCGTGGAATGTTGCTATGGAACTCAGAGCGCTGGGGGGGGGATCTAATGAGAGCCATCCTGTGGAATGAGTAATTCCCTGAGACCACGGCAGAGGGCCGGACAGGAAGGCATGACGCTGGACCTTTGCATGCCCTTTACGCTGAGACCCAGGCACATCTTTCGATTCCATTAAAAGTAAAATTAATCTAATCTACAAGCATATTAAAGTAGGCCTGTGTCCAAATTTTAGACATTGCAACTGTGGTGTTTAGTTTTGTATTGGAACAAAATCAAAGTGTGGAAATGGCAGTAATCTCTGAAGCTGCTTCCCCAGTGGACGCAGACAGGCTCGTCTGCGTTTTCCTAGCTCCTCTGTGAAGCTGCTTCCCCAGTGGACGCAGACAGGCTTGTCTGCATTTTCCTAGCTCCTCTCTGAAGCTGCGTCCCCATTGGACACAGACAGGCTGGTCTGCGTTTTCCTAGCTCCTCTGTGAAGCTGCTTCCCCATTGGACGCATGCAGGCTGGTCTGCATTTTCCTAGCTCCTCTGTGAAGCTGCTTCCCCAGTGGACGCATACAGGCTGGTCTGCGTTTTCCTGGCTCCTCTCTGAAGCTGGTTCCCCAGTGGACACAGGCAGGCTGGTCTGCGTTTTCCTAGCTCCTCTCTGAAGCTGCTTCCCCATTGGACGCAGGCAGGCTGGTCTGCGTTTTCCTAGCTCCTCTCTGAAGCTGCTTCCCCAGTGGATGCATGCAGGCTGGTCTGCGTTTTCCTGGCTCCTCTCTGAAGCTGCTTCCCCAGTGGATGCAGGCAGGCTGGTCTGCGTTTTCCTGGCTCCTCTCTGAAGCTGCTTCCCCATTGGACACAGCTGCTCCTTACTGACCCTCCTGGTGCATAGTTAACATTCATCACCGTACCCTGAAGGATTTCCCACAGACGCTGGACAAACCTATTCATATATACACATTCGGGCTGGGAATTCAATTACGGAGGATCCTGATTTAGGAACATTAATGGGATCCTCAGCAATAAGATAATACAGAAAAGATTAATGGTCTTTGGTAGACAGTGTGAAATGAGACCAGATAATGAGACAAATTGCATGATTTACACAGAATATTGTGGGCATTGTCAGTAATGTAGGTACGTAGAGAGTTAGTTAAGTGAATAATTAACTTATGGCTATGTGTTGTCATGCTAGTTAGCTGCTGCTCTGGATTGTATTTAACCAAGTACTTCGTACCCAGCTCAGACCTGTTGCGGCGAGGTCTGCTCACTGTGCTCCGGGACGATGGTGTTGGAAGCATCTTGCTGATAAAATGTTTTGCAGGCACAGTGAGACCCTGCAGAGTTCAGTATCGCCTACATTTCAAACTCCTGCCAGACGCTACTGAGGCAGCAGATTTTCGTTAAAAGAATTTGAGAACTTGTGTTAAAAACCATGAGTATGTTGCCAGGTCTCTGTGATCTTCGTGGGCTTTGTGAAGTTCTCTCCTCAGTGTACTGGACTGGTCCGTGCAGCCTCCCATAACCGCCTCCCCCAATCCTTGCTTTACTTTCTCAGCATCGTCACCAGTGGCAACCCTGCCTCCCCACCCCATGCCCCCCCCCCCTGCCCTCCGACCAGCAACCAATCCAAAATTTGAGCGCTGACCTCACAGTTGACCTCTGAAAAGGCCACGCCCTTCTTCCTGGTCATGGAGAAATGGTGGGGTCATGGTGGATTGCTTCTAAAGGTATCATGTTTTTTCATCACCGAAAATGAATAAAAAGGCTTCTTTTGCACCAGAAATGCAGGAGGATCCTGACGCGCCGCTTGTCCGGCTTGATCCGGCTGCTTGTGGGCTCCGTACTCATTTGCATGTCATCGTTTCCCCCATGTACTCCCCGTCTCCGTGTGCTTTTCCACAGGCATCAGGCGCACTGTATAGGAGAGCAGTTGCATAAGCTTTCAGCTGCATTTGAGGACGAGATCAATAGCTTTTACAGTAGCGGCCAAGCAGACATTCAGACATTTGAGCTGTTCGAACACGATATGGCACTGGGAGCGAATGCGAGGGAAGAATGATAAACGACACTGTCTGCTGAATAGAGTTTTTTTTTTTTGAGGGGGGGGAGCAGGTATAACAGAGTTCATAATGCTCTTGAAATTCATCACCATGACAACCGGGCACACGCTCCGAGAAACTCCCGGCTTCCGTGCAACTGCTTGGTGCACTCGCTAGTGCTGCCACGACGAGCCCCTGGAATAACCATCAGGTGTTAGAGTCTCCCCTGCGTACTCTGGCTCATGGTTGCCATCGGTAGTGACTCTATTCTTGTGCGCCCTTGACAGTTATTTCACCAAAATGGGGCACAAATTAGGGCTCTAATTGACCAGCAGGACCTCTGAAGCTGTTCCGGCGGAGCTTCCCTGCAATCTAATTGGTCTTTATCCCACGCTCTGTGTCTCCGTCTCCTCTGCACTTGCCAGACGTGTGAGCCCGCCTCGATTTGTGTTCCTCCCACTCCTTCAGGACGAACCTGGAGTCCCTCCAGAAGAAGCTGGAGGAGTTGGAGCTGGACGAGCAGCAGCGGAAGCGTCTGGAGGCGTTCCTCACGCAGAAGCAGAAAGTGGGCGAGCTGAAGGACGACGACTTTAGCAAGATCTGTGAGCTGGGCGCCGGCAACGGCGGCGTGGTCTTCAAGGTCCTGCACAGGCCCTCTGGGTTAATCATGGCCAGGAAGGTGCGCTGAGGCCGGCTTTGCTCTTATTACACGTGCGGGTCGTAAGGCTGCTCCTCCCCCACCTCCCCCGAGAGCGTGGAGCCCCTCCCCCTCCTATCACTGTGGCCGCTTATGTAATCCCGGGTCACGGACGACACGAGTGTCTGCTGTGTGAATGCGCAGTGATTCTCAGAGAGACTGCTTCCCACACACTGCCACAGTGGCTGTTTTGGTGCGGGACCACGCTTGTACTCTCAGAGCTGTGCGGTTGACATCATTACTCGGCTGCTCTCGAGAATACATCATTATTTCTGTTTGATGAGTTCACCCAGACCTCATTCACGCTCTTCTCGCTGAAATGGACCCTATTGTAGAGATTGCATTTTCTATAAATTCCCCACAGTACACGCTCGCTGTGTCCGGTGCGCGAGGCGCGGCTGCTGGTCACGTGCTTCGCAGCGCTGGCCCGGGCGGGTGACGGTTTCCGTGGTTTCAGCTCATCCACCTGGAGATCAAGCCGGCGGTCAGGAACCAGATCATCCGCGAGCTGCAGGTGCTGCACGAGTGCAACTCTCCGTACATTGTGGGCTTCTACGGGGCCTTCTACAGCGACGGGGAGATCGGCATCTGCATGGAGCACATGGTGAGCCTCAGCAGGCCTCGCCTGTAGACGGGAGCCGTCAGCCTGGCCGTGCTGGGTGTGCCTTTGTAAAGCTTACGGTTACCACTTCCAGTCCCACAACATCTTACTAAAGCAGCTAAAGCAATTATCACCATCTGTCTTTGTTTCCTACAGTCATAATGTAACCCTAATTTGTACACATATGGGTGACTTGCCCAAACACTGTTCATAGTGTCATAAAAACTGACGGGAAATTAAATTCGGCTGGTGAGTGATGTAACGGACATTCTTCCTCTGGATAGCGTGGTGTTAGGTGGTGGGGGGGGGTGTGTGACCCGGAGTCTTTGCTGTCCCCTTGCAGGACGGGGGGTCCCTGGACCAGTCCTTGAAGAAAGCGGGCAAAATCCCCGAGCAGATCCTGGGCAAAGTCAGCATCGCTGTGGGTATCTCCTGCTTATTGCTCACTTCATATAGTTGCCCGTGTTCCTGTGTACTTGTGTTCTCCCAGTGCGTGTAGTTTAAAGCAGATGCAGTGCGGTGTGGGCCGCCCCTCTCCTCCGGGTGTCTGCCGTGCAGTGGGGCCGCCCCCTCTCCTCCGGGTGTCTGCCGTGCAGTGGGGCCGCCCCCTCTCCTCCGGGTGTCTGTGGTGCAGCGGGGCCACTCCCTCTTCTCCGGGTGTCTGCCGTGCAGTGGGGCCGCCCCCTCTCCTCCGGGTGTCTGTGGTGCAGTGGGGCCACCCCCTCTTCTCCGGGTGTCTGCAATGCAGTGGCCCCCCCCTCCTCTGGGTGTCTGCTCTTATACCATCCTTATTATATTCATGCCATTATCTCCTTACAGCTATTAACATTTTATGTTACATAACGTTTTTCTGACTGAAGAAAAACTGGGACGTGGTGAAATAAATTTTGTGTGAAATTGCTAATTCCTACAGTATCTGCTTTCTGCATCAGCTCTAGTTTGCAAACTCAGCCTGTTTTCCTCGCATGGCTACAGGTGAAAAGTTTTGCCCATGTAGAGGCCACACTGACGTCCTTCTCCGTCTCTCTGCTGTGTCCTCCTGGCTGCATTCATTAAGGACGATGCCGGGATTAAATCTCACCGTGCTAATTCATGACTTTCCTATCTCACAGGTGATCAAAGGCCTCTCTTACCTGAGAGAGAAACACAAGATCATGCACAGAGGTGAGGCACTTTAATTTCTCTAACAGCAGGCGCCTGATTAGGCCACGCTGATTAGTGTCAGCAAAGGCAGACGAATCTTTGGGAAAGTCGAGGTGCTGTCAGAATGCAAGAGTAATTCTTTGGAAATGAAGAACCTCTCCTTTGCATTTTGGCAGAGTAGCGCAATTAGACATTAATAAAAATTACGGTCAAACGTGAAATGGTCCATTAGAAAACCAGCCAGCAGTGATTAAATACATTTACTGACATGAATAGATACTGTGCAGTATTTTCCTGCATTTACCTGTTTACTTACATGCTGCTCCACCGTATTTCTGAGTGGTAGGTGACTCATGACCTGAGAGCTCTATTCATCCCTTTATAAAAAAACTCCCACGCAACAAAAGGGAGAAATCAGCTATCAGTGTGTTCAGTTCAGCTGGCGACCGTTAAGTACCATCTGCCGTGGAGAGAAGCGCCCCCCCCGCCCCCCCCTCAGCCCGGCTCTTCTTGTCGGCACCCACGGGTCCGCTCAGCCCAGAAACCCTCTTGGGTCTGGAAGGGATTCAAGGGGGGGGGGGGTTTCAGAGCGAGGTGGACAAATTTTGGGTAAGAAAATGTAACTCGCAGGGAGGCGTTAAAGTCGGCCATTTTCCACACCATCTGCGGGTTCGTCATGTAGCCAGAGCTAAACATAGGCATTGGGCATCAGGCTAAACATAGTGTGTGACTGGGAGATGCTGCACCATTTAAAAGGAAATACTTTTTTTAGTGATACAAACTAATACTGTGTAGTTTTAAAGATTCAAGATTCAAAGGTTTTCTTGTCATTGTGTTTCTTGTCATTGTGACATTGTCACACACGACGAGATAATATTAGTGATTTCTGAAACCAATGCAATACAAATATGAAATAAATAATATTTGAATGATATAAGCAATATTCAAGAAGTAAACTATATATAAAAGTAAAGATATTGAGTTAGTCAAACTATTGAAATAAATTATCAAGAGGCAGACTAAAAATAACAAAATAAAGTGCAGCAATAACAAGTGACTATCAGAGGTTAATGCACATACTTGCATATAGCTCATCGAATAGTCATTTCTGCGAAACTCCAGTGCTCTGTTACGGTAGCACTTATACGAGGTCTTTGTTTGCGAGACAGGACTAGGAAAGACGCTGTTCCTGAACCTGCGTGTGGGTGTGACTGCTTCTGTAGCATCGCTGCATCTGTTGGGTGGTAGGAGGGCAAACTATTGTTTGCTGGGGGTGAATCTGGGATTAATCTTTAATGATGTTGACGGCCTCCCTTGGAGTGCAGTTTGTAGCTGTCCTCAGCGGCCGAGAGCTCTGTTCCTATGATGAACTTAGCCGTCTTGATGACCTGCTGTTGAGCTCTCTGGTTAACCTCAGTGCAGTCAGTGTACCAGAATACTCTATATGGACAAGAGAACCACAGGAACTTATATGATGACCCATTCTAAATCCGTAGGCATCAGTATGGAGCTGGTCCCCCTTTGCAGTGATATCAGTTGCCACTTTTCTGGGGAGGCTTTCCACAAGATTTTGGAGTGTGTCTGTGGGGATTGCTGCCCATTCATCCAGAAGGGCATTTGTGAGGTCAGGCACTGGCTCACAATCTCCATTCTAGTTCATCCCAAAGGTGTTCATTGGGGTTGAGGTCAGGGCTCTGTATGGGCCAGTCTAGGGGTGGGCAATATAACCAAAATCTTCTATCACGTTAGAAGCAATTTTCTACCTCGATAACGATATATATCACAATATAGCAATTTGTATCTGGAAATGCATAAATAAAAATTCAAACACAAAGAAACTGTTTTATATAATGTAATTTTATTTAAACTGTGAATTGCAGCATTACTTTAAGTAAAAAAACAATCATACTGTTTACTGTAATGTATTGTACTGCATTCTTTGACCTTGGCCATATTCGTTTGGATGCTTGGATTTGAGATGATAGAAAAGGTTTGATGTGTTTCCACCGCTTGCTAAAACAGTGCTCTTGCATACCTTGCAAATCACGTTCGTCTCATTCGCATCACTTTTCCTGTACCCAAACCAATTCCACACCACAGACGATGCACCTTTTTTCTTTACAATCTCCTCATTGTTGGTTTCGTCACATGTAAGCAAACTCACCGCTGCACCGTCTTCTTCCATTGTCGAAGTGAATGTGTATTGCGTGGCTACCTAACGTGCAACGTCACGTGACCTCAATCACGATTAAGACGATAGACCAAAATCTCTATCGGTTGACAAATTTCTACCGGTTAGTCGTGTCTACCGGTATATCGCCCACCCCTAGGCCAGTCAACTTCTTCCAGACCAAACTCACCCAACCATATCTTTATGGACCTTACTTTGTGCACTGGGGCAGTCATGCTGGAACAGGAAAGGGCCTTCCCACTAAGTTGGAAGCATAAAATTATCCAAAATGTCTTGATATGCATACCATAGAAGTTCCTGTGGGTGTAATGGCCAGGTGTTCCAGTACTTTTGTCCATGTAGTGTATGATGCAGTATGTCAGCAAGTTCTCTGTAGAGCCTCTGTATGACTAGCAGTTTCCCTCATCAGTTTGCTCTCCTCAGAACCTTCAAGTAGAAGAATCTCTGCTGAGGCTCCCCTGTAATAGAGGGTGTTGATGGAGCACTAAAGATCCTCCATGATGTTACACACAAACGTTTAAAGCTGGCCACTCTTTCCACTGGTTCTCCTTGGATCAGTACCGGTTTTTTCTCCCTGCCTCTTTGGGGTTGAGAGCCAGACCGTTGTCTTCATTCCACAGGATTCTGCACTTCTTCCCTTTAGTCTGTCTTACATTGTTTGTGATCAGGCCAGTGACTGTTGTCGTCTGCAGACCTGGTGATGGAGTTAGAGGTGTGGACAGGCACAGTGTTGTATGTGTAGAGGGCGTTGAGGAGGGGCTGAGTGAACGTCCTCGTAGTGCCCCTCCCAGGTGGAGGAGCTCTCTCCTGTCCTGCTTTGGTGCTGGTTGAGTGCTGTAACCCGCCTGTCACACCTCAAGAAGCAACCTCCTTTTCTGTCGCCTAGATGTCAAGCCGTCAAATATCCTGGTCAACTCGCGCGGAGAGATCAAATTGTGTGACTTTGGCGTGAGCGGTCAGCTCATCGACTCCATGGCGAATTCCTTTGTGGGCACGCGTTCCTACATGTCTGTGAGTGTCACCCGCTGCCCTCTGGCCGTATGCCCATCCATCCATCCATCCGGCTGCGAGCACAAAGCAGGGAACAGCCCAGGATGGGGCGCCAACCCATCACAGGGCAGACTCACACAACAGGGTCACACAGACGTGCACACAGAGGGGAGGGGGGGGGGGGGGGGGGCATGCAGACTTCAGCACCAGGGCCATTCTTCATAAATGAAACCCAAAGAATGCATTTTGTTTTACTGCTTCCAGATGCATCTCCTCACTGTAATGCATCTACATTGCACATTTGGAAATCATGCAAAGATAATATTTTACCTAAAACTGTTCTTTTCAGGCTTTTCTTTTACATGCAGATTAATTACTAACTTGAAAGAGAATGTGTATGCAGGCATGTGCAGGGGTGGGTTGGGGTCACCGGTCACTTTTATGCCCAAATGGCTGAAAGTGCCCCTTTTTCATAACCAGGCATACACCCCCCATGATCAGCTAAATTTACCCTAAGCCACACCTCCACCCCCCCTGTTGAACACCTATCCTTCAAAAAATCTGTGTATGTATGGGTGTCATCTCGGGATGTGGCCGGGATGTGAAGGCAGCCGTGTGATTGAGCGTGTGCCCCCCCCCCCGGCAGCCCGAGCGACTACAGGGCACGCACTACTCCGTGCAGTCAGACATCTGGAGCATGGGCCTGTCCCTGGTGGAAATGGCCATCGGCCGCTTCCCCATCCCACCCCCTGACGCCAAGGAGCTGGAGCAGATTTTCGGCTTCCCGGTAGAGGGCGACGCGCGGCCCAGCGCAACATCCCCCAGGCCCAGGTCCCTGGGGAGGCCCGTCAGCTGTAAGTCCACGGGGTTACCTGGGGGAAGCCCTTGGTGGGCGTCACTGAACATGCTGCTCACATGACAGGATTCTGTGATGTCATTCCTCCAAAGCAGGGAGCCCCCAAAAAAGAACAGGATTGGGGGGTCCTTAAGTCTTGCATCATTGCAGCCAGCCTGTGGCCACTTCCTTTTGTCCTGTATTCCATAATTGTCACACATTTTTGTCCTGCAGTGTGATAAGTCTTCTAGCCATAAACCACCTCTCCTTTATGTTTAAGCTCATGGTATCGACAGCAGACCTCCCATGGCAATTTTTGAGCTGCTTGACTACATTGTCAATGAGGTATGTTACATTTTTTTCAGTGCTTATAGAAATCCTTTAAAAAATGTTAAAATAATATCAGCTCAAGCCAATGAGTCATTTGACTATAAACTAGATATTTCACATTCAGAACACACAATACTTTGTCACGCCTTTGTAGATTTGGCGCCATCTTGTGATTATAATGGAATGTTGCAGTACGCGTGATAGATGGGGTTTTAAAAGTTGTAAAAGTTGCCTATTGATCTGCCCATTTCCAACCTGCTATCCAGTGCAGGGACCTGGGTGGGCAAAAACTGGAGCCTATACCAAATTTATATATCAAAGATTTTTAGTTGTGGATATCAAAATGGAATTTACAGCTGTTTCTTTTACGTAATAGCTATAGTGTATTAAATGCCGTTTAAATTTTGCTGGAAGGCTGTGTTACTACTGTACCCTTAAGTTTCTGGCTCACCTTACCTACATATGTTTGTAGAATAATGTGTTTTGTGAATCAAGTCATATACATGGTGTCAGACCAAATGACACGAGATATTGAAATCAGCATCATGGAATGAAAATCGATCTGCCTTCTGATTTCACCAACTTTCCGTTTCCAGCCACCTCCCAAACTTCCCAACATCTTCGGTCCTGAATTTCAAGACTTTGTTAACAAATGGTATGTATGACCACTGACATCAACCTTTCTTTTTCAAAAATACCACATTGGAAAAAATACTTGTACACCTGCTTAGTACCAAAGTAGGGTTTGCTAAGTGATACCACTGTTCTATTGCTTTTGAATAGTAAGCATGATGCATCAGATCAAATACTGCCATTCAGCTGCAGAAATATATGCTGTAATTTGAGACAGCAGCCACAGTTCATGGAGTTTAACTGGTCCTCTTCTAATCATGAAACTGTTTACATTAAGTTTGATCAAGAACCCTGCGGAGAGAGCCGATTTGAAGCAGTTAATGGTGAGTTAGACGTCTTCCAGACACTGGGTAAAATGCTAATCTGCCCTGCAGACCTCAGTGACGGCAAACAAATGGTGTCTCACATGGTACGCGACTCCCCGCAGATACACCCCTTCATCAAACAGTCCGAGGTGGAGGAAGTGGACTTCACAGGCTGGCTGTGCAGCACCATCGGCCTGAGCCAGCCTATCACCCCTACCCACAGCGGAGGGCTCTGAGCTCTGGGCACATCCCTCCAACTTCAGTCATCTCTCCAACTTAATGTTTTGTATATAGTAAAAGTGCCTGTTTTACACATTGTTGGTTTGGATAAGCTACATGTGCTTTATCTATAAATGTTTAAAGGGAAAAAAAAAAAAAAAAAAAGTTGTCCTACAGTCAAAATAATGGATAAAGCCATTTAATAGCGTTTAGCAGCAGCACTACACTTAACACCACATCTACACACTAGCAGCCTATTACTCCACTCTGAGTGGGTTAAACCACAGAACACAAAGGGGAATATGTGCTGCTCAAACGCTTCACCCTCCATCAGCTGCTGGAGCTCTGCAGTCCTCACAGCAGTTTTGGGAGCTCTACAGCCTCTGCTCAAATCGCTTCCTATTAAAGGACTTCAAAAAGTCTGACAATGTACCGAGTTCCCGCCGTCATCACCATTAATGCAGCCGAAAGGGAAGCAGGAAAAAACCCAATGGCAGAGAATCACCTCTGTTTTATGAACAGAAATAAAATGGTCACCAAATTTCTGTACAACACAAATGTATGAAATACACGGCTTGTGTGAAAGTCATTGTGCTATGATGAAAAATAAAATGTGTCTCCCAGTTTTTCTGACTGCCTTACACAACAACACCAGTGCCATTTCTTTTTTTTTTTTTTGAACATTTTATTGTCATATCCGTGTGCCTCCAGGCTGCATGAGACTGCGTTTACTTGGCTGGCTTCTCCGCTGCTGGTGCCTTCTCCTTCGGTGCCTTGGCTGCCTTCGCCTTGCCCGCATCCGCTGGCTTGCCCGCTTCTGGGGCCTTGCCGGCCGCCGCCTTCTTCTTGGCCTCTCTCTTCACCTTCCTTGTGGCCTTCTTGTTCTTCTGAAGCTTGGCTCTCATCTGTAAAAGGAAAGCGAGATGCTGGTGTCAAACAAATGCAGTCTGTGTTTGAAGCTAGGGGAACGAGCTATGGCGGAGATGCCAGGTGCGCCCATCGGCGTAGGCCGGGTCTCGGGAGCTTACAGCGGGGTCGTGCAGCAGGATGGCATTGCGCCTTGCCGTCTTGGCGTAAGGGTTCAGCTTCATCATGACCCTCAGGTTCTTCAGAGGATTCTTCTTCAGCACTCTCCTGTGGATCTTCTTGCTATAAAAGCCACAAAGGGTAAGGATCACCATTTAAACACGTACTCATCCAGGCAGACAGTTCCTATATTACTGAAAGCTATGACTGCATATTCTCAGAACTTCAAGTAAAATCATGGTGGTCAGAAACACGGACCATGAAGTTAAGCTCATCACAGCTGGGCAGCAACAGCATACCATCCCTAATACCTCCACTGGCAGCTACCAGACCTTGGCCTGCATCCCTAAAGTGCGGGACACTTACTTTGGAGGACGCAGAGCCTTCTGGATCTCCTGGCTTTTCAGAATCCTGCTCAGGTCTGTGTTGGTCATCTTGTGCATTGGCAGGCTGGAAACCAAGACAGTCATTAGTGTCAGGACAAGTAATACTAATGAAACATAAGAGAGGAGTATTAAACCACAAAAAGGAAAACTCAAGTGGGACAAGCTCTAGGCCGGGGCACTATATGCTCAGAACTTCGGCTAAAGTCAATGCGTTTCAGAAACACGGACCATGAAGTTGAAGCTCATCACTGCAGGCAGAGCTATGAGGTGGTTTAATGCTATATGAAGACCATAAACTGCATGTACATCAAAAAGCAAACGGAGCATCGCTGAGCCACTCACTTGTAGTCCACCTTCTTGGTGGCCGGCTTGCGCCAGGTGCCGTACAGCTCATCCAGTTTCCGGAAAGCGCTCTCTGTCCAGATGCAGAAGCGGCCCACGTGGCCACCAGGAGCCAGGCGGAGCAGGTTCAGCTTGTTGACGTTCTGCAGAGTGATACCTGACAAGGCGGCCATTGTCAAAATCCACGTCATACAGCAGGTCCAGCAAAGTGCAAAAAAAATGCATTAAAATGACAGCTTCCAAAAAAGCCCATTAACATATTTAGCTGGAACAGCAGGGACCACCAAAGATCTTACTGAACCCACTGCATGCATTTGCAAATTCCACTAATCAAGTACCAGGATGCAGGTCACATGGGCCCATCACCCAGCACAAACCATTTCAGGAAACTAACCAGGGATGTTCCTGAAGGCCTTTGTCACGCCGGAGTCTGCGTTGTAGATGATGCAAGGTCCTTTGCGCTGAATTCGCCTGCGGTTCCTCATCTTACCTTTGCCGGCACGCATGCGCTGGGAGGCGTACACCTGCGGACAGAGTCACCGGAGCGACACTGAGCATGGAAACTACACAACTGGTTACCAAAGCCTACAGAACGGTTATAACTGCTGGAACAATCAATTTACAATAAGCTGGACTTATTTGTATACAATAAAGCCCTAGAGCTACCCTGTGTCTTAAGGCCGGCCCACCTTCTTAATGTCATTCCAGGCCTTCAGTTTCTTCAAGAGCAGAACTGCCTCCTTGGTCTTCTTGTATCCTTCAACCTTATCATCGACCACCAAGGGTACCTCGGGGATCTCCTCGATGCGGTGACCTGAGCAAAAGCATCATCTGTGACTTATACTTGGAAGGATCAGCTACTCCTCTGGCCCCAACAGTCAGCAAGAGTCTTGCTCAGAATTATATTTTCGTCAACCTCCCGTAGCGGCATGGTGACAGAAGGCAACTGTCGCCGTCCACGGGGTCGGACGCAAATTACACCATCATGGCAAGTGTCAGGGCGTCTTTCCTGCCTGCATTTCACTCTGTTCGTCTGACACGCTGCTAGAATGCTAAATTCTATGAGGCGTTATGCCTGGGTCAAAGCGAGATGAAAGATTAACTGACCTTTGGCCATCACCAGAGCCGGCAGGGCGGAAGCAGCCAGGGCGGAGCAAATGGCATAGCGCTTCTGGGTCGTGTTGATCCGGCGATGCCAGCGACGCCAGGTCTTGGTGGGGGCAAACATGCGCCCTCCACGACACATCTACACTGGAGTCAAGGCATAAACACCAGGCTCACGCTTCTCCCAGCCTCCCCCCCATCAGACGAAACCTGCTCAGATTCCTTCTTTCTTCAGACTTCTGTGCCAGCATGTGACAGCAGGCTAACTGTCGCTGTTCACAGGATAAGACGCAAATTACACCATCATAGCAGGCAACACTTTCATTAACAGGCTATGCAAAAAAACCTAATGGCACATATTTAACTAAGAACCGCAACCCCCAGCCATTGCAGGGGTAGAAACTATTCTGAAGTTTCGAAGCCCAGCAAGCAGACCAGCACGGGGACAGGCTGAAACTGAGGATACGTTTCCAAAGGCTCCCTGGCCAGAGCGATGAGTGCCACCACCACGCACACGGGGGATACGAGCCACCGCTCTACCGGTACCCCAAGACTCAGCACTAGTCTGGTGACCTGAAATGCAAAAATTCCAAGAATCAGGCACAGTGGGGAATCAGAAGCAATTATCACCTCCCAAATATATTGTTTATTGTAGGTCAAGCTTGTCAGAACTTCCACTTTTATCACAGAGCTCAGAAACACGGACCATGAAGTGGAGACTCATCAGCGAAGCTATTTTCAACCGTCCCTTCAACGATACACCTATATTTACTGTTTTAATTTCGTTTTAAGTTTGTCCAGTACTCACCAGCCAGTTCACTGACAGCATAGGGCTGGCGGTTGTTTTTCCGCATATTGGTGTGAACGAAGTTCACGATATCAGGGCGGATGGGGGCCTTAAACACAGCCGGCATCACCACATTCTTGCCGGAGGTCTCTCCCTTCTCCGAGTAGACCGATATCAGGGGCCTGGCACAAGCCTGGGGACATAAAGTGCAAGAATAAACCGTGAGTGAACACCGCACTGTGGTAAGTTACTCCCAAAACGCACACGTTTTACCAAGAAAATGTCTGTAAACATTCAAAAATGGCGTTTACAGTGTGACACGTGAATTTCGACACGTCTTGGGTGGACTCAAGTCACATTATATTATTGATAATTCAAAGAAGGGGAAGATAATACTTCTGTCATTCGAAACAGTTATGCATAGCTAAAGTGCGCGACAAGAATATACAAAGACTCTCAAACTCTCTCCTTCTACGAAGTATAGCAGGCAGTTTCGGTACGTTAGGCCGCAGATGAACTCCACGTGTTTTCTACCGAAACACTAGAAGACTAATAATGCTAGAATTGATTCTCTTAATGAAATATGCATTAATTACTCTTTTACACGCCTACAAACGATTTAAAACTTCGGGCAGCATATGAGTAACAATCTTCAAAAAACGCGAGCAAAGGCATATTCACTTTAGACATTTCCAGATTCTTAAGCTTCAAACAGGTGATAAGCCGTTATATTAAAGTTTACGTTGAATAAAACTGGAATTACAGCATATGTAGTATTATTGTAATATTCCTGACAATACCGCCATGCCCCATTTTTACCCAATTCACGTGCAGCGATCTACAGGCACTATTTCAAAATGGCTCCTCTAAGCATAATGATGATACAATAAAACAAAATGTTACGATTAAAGTAACAGAAAACCATGTGTCAACAGACCAATGAATAATAATCTAAGCTGTTGTTTATTACAAATATGAATATTTCTGACCATTTTTTCTGAAAATTTGTCGGCTCGCCGGGAACCACGCTCCTTCGTCTATGGCGGCCACGCAAGAAAAGGAAGTGTGTCGTGCGCCTCATGCTGTTTATACATCCGACTAAAGTCACTTCCGTCGTTTGGAAATTGTTTAAATTTCTACAATTAAATTGCAAAAATATACTTTAAACTTATAAATACTCATGTCTCTGTGTTTTATTCTGTTACATAGGGAAGTTATAATAAAAAATGTCATTTTTTCTGTGGAACTATTTTGTTTCTTTGCCACACTTAAGCGTAACATTCATGTCGACTTACAGACCGGACTACTTTTTGTTTGTAAAATATATTTAATAGCAAGGTTCTTATTTATTTATCAAAGTCTATTGTAATGACTTAACATTAAATATGTAATCAATATTTATATTAAAAAATAAAAAGTTTATTTATTTAAACTAGCAGGGAAAACTACGGATGACCCTGATGACGTAATGACGTGAGAGGTGAACGTGATCTGTCTGCCTTTGGCGCCACGGACTCTGGAGTCTGGAGTCCTGCCCCGTTTCGGGTGACCACGTGTATCCTAGGAGTAACCCGCGAGAAACTCGCAAGTTTTAATGCAACGCATGGAAAATATCCTAAACTTTAATTTGCGGGTACCGGGTAGACCACGACAAACAAATATTCTAAGAACAAGTAGCATACAAGTATATATTTTTGAAAACGTAAAGCACACCACCACAAGTCTGTTTTACGTTTTCATAAAAATATACAAAATTGAAGCCTATTTGTTTTTTTTTTGCTTTTTTTAAAAAGGCTTATTTATTTAGTTGATATCTTGCTCTTATTTGTTTTAAAACTCTATATGTATATTTATAAATGCAGACTTTTAAAAAGATCATCCAAGTGTGTGTACTACTTGGGGGTATTCCGCAAAGCAGGATTTATTAATAAGACAGAAAACTTAAGGCAAATGTAAGGACTATCGAATAGGAATATCACTTATCTGTCTTCCTGTTATACAGTTTTCACGTTTGACTGAAACTGTCGTGCTAACTTGGAAATCATAGTTTGTGGAACACCCCCCAGACAGAGTTGGCAGGGCCGCGGTTTTCCCGTCCAGTTGGGCTATTTAGATAGAATGATTGATAGATAGATAGATAGATAGATAGATAATCTTTATTGCCTTTTGCACAGGTACAGGTCAGTACAAGTACATTGGAATTCTTGTGTGTATCTCCCAGAGTAATTTTTATAAAATAGACAGAGAAGAGACAATTTTAAAAAAATAAAATAATATAAAAATAAATAAAAGCAGCAAACACACTAATTGCAGGATGGAGTAAGTAGATACACACTGTGTACAGATGCAGATACAGGATACAGAGTGCATGGCCTGGGTGGATGAGTGAATTATTTCACAGAAATAATATTAAGACAGTATATTGTACACAGAAGTGGAATAATAATTGACCCTTTATTGTCTCTGAGGGGAAATTCTTTTTTTATGCCTCCCTCAACTTGTTCTTTTGAAAAGTAAACTGTCCGCGAAGGGCAGCAGACCCTTCTCACCTGTTGGGGCGCCCAGGGAGCTGGGGGTTAAGGGCCTTGCTCAAGGACCCACAGACATGCTGAGATTGGGTTTGAACCGGAAGCCTTATGATTACAGGCACACAGGCTTAGTCCACAAGAGTTATTTGACTACCTAAGAGGAAGACAGAATGAAAGTGAGGTTGTAGTCCTCTGATGTGTCTGATTGCCTCTTTGGAGTGCTAACTGTCCAGGTAATGTCCATGGGGGAATTGGGGGGGTGCTGTTTTTCTTACCCACCTTAATGTCCTTAACCATCAGTCTAACTGTGGCAGGGAAAAAGCTGTTGTGGAATCGTGCTGTAGGTGGTGATGCTCTCTGGCCTGTGGTGTCTTAGACTGTATCCTAAGTTCTTCCTCCTAAACAGGCAGAATGATGGGTGATGTTGATCACTGAGTATACCCTGAGTATACCCTGAGTATGTCCTGGGCTTTCCTCCTACAGCGCTGTGTATATAATGTATCCACAGAGGAGAGGTTGGAGCCTATGATCCTCTCTGCAGTTTTTACAGCTCGTTGCAGAGATTTCCTCTCAGCCTGTGTGGTATTTCCAAACCACACAGTGATGCCGCTGGTAAGGACACTTTCAGCGAGTCCTCTATGGGCCTGTGTGAGGGGCTGACGTCCGGGCCTCTATGGGCCTGTGTGAGGGGCTGACGTCCGAGTCCTCTATGGGCCTGTGTGAGGGGCTGACGTCCGGGCCTCTATGGGCCTGTGTGAGGGGCTGACGTCCGGGTCCTCTATGGGCCTGTGTGAGGTGCTGACGTCCGAGTCCTCTATGGGCCTGTGTGAGGGGCTGACGTCCGGGTCCTCTATGGGCCTGTGTGAGGGGCTGACGTCCGAGTCCTCTATGGGCCTGTGTGAGGGGCTGACGTCCGGGTCCTCTATGGTCCTGTGTGAGGGGCTGACGTCCGGGTCCTCTATGGGCCTGTGTGAGGGGCTGACGTCCGAGTCCTCTATGGGCCTGTGTGAGCGGCTGACGTCCGAGTCCGGCCTTCTTCAGCAGCCTGATGAAGTACAGCCGCTGCTCTGCCTTCTTCACAGTTGCCACAATGTTTTTAGCCCAGCTTAGGTTCTCAGAGATGTGAAGACCTAGACACTTGTAATTGTCAGTCCGCTGCACATGAATCCCCTTGATGGTAAGAGGATGCAGGGGAGGTGCCCTCCTCCTGAAGGCCAGAATCAGTTCCTTGGTTTTATCCATGTTAAGCACAAGGTCGTTGTCCTCACCATAGATAATGATTCCGTTCACCAATTCCCTGTAAGTCGACTCGTCCCCATTCTTGATGAGGCCAAGAATGGTTGTGTCATCCGCATATTTGATTATTATATTGCTGTCCTGATTTCAGACACAATCATATGTTTATAGTGAGAAGAGTTTTGGGCTGAGGCAGCAGCCTTGAGGGGTTCCTGTGCTGACTGTGAGCTCAGCCGAGACCTTATTTCCCATCCTCACCACCTGTGGTCTGTCTATAAGGAAATCCAATATCCAGTTACAGGTGGGTGTTGGTACTCCCAGGTCTGCCAGTTTAGCAATCAGCTTCATTGGCCTAATTGTATTAAAGGTGAAACTGTAATCTATGAAGAGCATTTGCGCATATGTTTCGTTTGTGTCCAAGTGTTGCAGTGTGTAATGAAGTGCCAGAGCCACTGCATCATCCACTGGTCTGTGTGGGCGGTAGGCAAACTGCAGAGGGTCAGCTGTGTCTGGGATGACAGTTTATAGAACTTAGCACCAGTTTTTCCAGGAACTTCATGGCAACTGGAGTGAGAACCACTGGCATTCAATGTGGAGACGTTAGGTTTTTTTTGGGACCGGTACTATCACAGAGGACTTGGAGGACCGTGGGACTATTTCCTGTGAGAGAGAGTAGTTAAAAATGTCCATGTACACCCCAGCTATCTGTTCCGCGCAGGATCTCAGAACTCGGAGATACTCTGTCTGGTCCCGCTGTTTGAAAATACAGTTGTGGGTAAATATTAGGAGGTCGCAGGATTTTGGGGCTGCTTTCATAATGTTCTGCGGCAGCGGACAGCAAGGGGAGAAACAAATTAATTATTATGAACGGAGGCTCCTAATGCTGAGTAATGCTGTATCGCTAACCAGCCAAAGTCAGAGACAGAGGCACTTGGAATGCAGGGCTGCAAGGTCTCCCGCATCTGGCATGACACTCACGCTTTCAGACTCATGCAAGCAATCTTACGGCGAATCTAAATAATTCCATTATACACTTAAAATTAGCTACATCAGCTAAATTTGCAAACCCCACAGACTATTTACAAGGTAATAAAACTGTTACATGCATGTAAATGCGTGTGCAGACTAGCCCCGAATTGAAACTCCAGCCAGCTGACCAAAGTTGTCAAGCCTGGGAAAGGAGAGTATGTCTGTCGACGTTACGTCATTTTGTTTAACTGTGGTTTAAAAATGTCGAACATTTGAATGTGATCAGCGTGCAAAATACTGGTTTATTTAGTTGAGATACAGTACACTGCGATTTTGGGCTAGTTTCAGCTTCCATTGGGAGGATTTTAAACAGACCTTGGCCTGGAAGGGTGGAGTGGTGGCTGTGAAGCTAGGGATCTGTGCCAGCAAATGGAAGGTTGTTGGTTCAAATACTGTGAATGCCCAGAGTGATTGTACTCTGTAGGGCCCTTGAGCGAGGCCCTTAACCTGCAATTGCTTCCTCCTGGGTATGTTATTAATCTACATCCAACCCTGCAAGGAGATCCTCCAATTTACAAGGAAAAACTTGGGGGTTATTGGCAGGATTGGCACTCCAGCCACTGGAAAAAAGAAAAAACTCATACTGGTCAATTTGGACTAGTGTGGTGCTGAGGTATTGCTCACCCTATGGCTGCCCTTGGGTTCTCATCCCTGAGGTGCTTTGTCATTTGGTGGGTACTGCAATCAGTGCATCTCCTTACCTCTTGGGCTGGAGATCTTTTGCTGGACCCGGCAACACTGCCCCAAGAGCAAGGCAAGCACAGCATCTGCAAGTTAGTCTCCCCGTGGCGTCTGAGGCGATTCTGCCAGGAAATTCAGACCGGGCTACAAAAAAAAAAAAAAACTACAGCTATAGGGTTCTTTATCGCTACAGATATGCAACCAGACTCCGTGGTAGGGAACACAGTATTTTGTTCATTTACGATTGTTTTTATGCGGTCTTATTTTTAAAAAATTATTATTCTATATATTTTACAATGTGCAAATAGGTTTTGTTATTCAGACATAATGTCAAAATCATTTCACAGGCTGTAAAGAATCGTGCCGTGGGGTGAGTGTGGTCTGCAGACCTTGAGTTTGTAAGTGTCCTAGAGGTTCACATACTTCATCCATCAATAACATTATTACACGTATAACATTGTGTGTTGATGGATAATATGGAGGCCTACATACTCAGGCATTAATAAGGAAGGCCTACATACTCAGACATTAATAAGGAAGGCCTACATACTCAGACATTAATAAGGAAGGCCTACATACTCAGACATTAATAAGGAAGGCCTACATACTCAGACATTAATAAGGAAGGCCTACATAATCAGATATTTGTAATGGCATAAATTATTTGTGATACTTAGCAGAATCATTTACAGTTTAGCAGTTTTCAGCTTGTAATATCTAACTTATATAGATAACCTGTTTTTGTGATGATATGGTGTCATCATATTCCTTTTTCAATTTCTTTTTTCGTTCTTTTTGGTGGCCCTGTGCAGCATTTTAGATACAACAAATTGATTTAAAAAGTGCTGTATAATGAATAATTCCACACCCAGCCCTGCAAGGAAGTCCTCCTGAGGTGGTTTGTTGTGTGGTGGGTGCAGCAATGCACTGTCAGCACATGCTCCTTACCTTTCTCTGGGATTGTTAATTATTGCATATTGAAAAATAAATTGCTGAATCAATATGTTTAGAATGTATTTTTGTGTGTGAATCACATGCCCAATCCCCTTCCTGGGTTCGACAATTACACCATCATAGACAATAGTAGGGGGGCCTCTGACCATGTCAATGCATATCTATGCTCAGTGAATATACAAACGTGTAGGGTCGGTCGCTGAAGTGACATCGTGCTGTTTTTATGCTCTAGGTCTGCGTTTACAATATTTTAATATTTAGGAAACAGCGCCATCTGCTGGAAGGAGTGGTCAAGTACATTTCTCATATGATTGCTTCGTGAACTCGTTTTTTGTTTATATATATATATATTTTAAATGCTTTTCTCTTTATTTCAGCCTTTAATTTGACCTGGGCTTTTACTGTGAAAATGACCCTTGTCGTTTTGTGGAGTTTGTCAGATCTTTAGCTTATCCTGCGTAGTTTGCTATGCTTCTTGTCAAACACATCTGTTCTTCGTGACTTACAGCTGGAAAAGTACTTATCAGACGGATGGGTACTTTCATTTTGGCTATTAACATATGCTTTTTCATTTTGGTCTTTCAAGATTGTAAACAGAAATACAGATATATCTTTATTTCTGTCACTTCAAAGCATTTTTTAGGGAAATTTAGAATAGTTTAATTCACTGAGCACAGTGTCATGGCAATCCCAAAGCCTCATGCATGAAATACTCTGTATGTCAAATTATCATTATTACATTATTATGCTCTGAGCTTTTTTAGACAAAAAGAAAAGAACGCTGAGGCTACAAACTCATTGAGGCCTTAGGGACGTTAGGGTTGGGGGGGGGTACACATTCCCCACCACAGCTATTTGTAGCCATTTTGAGATTTTCTTTGGCTTTTCACAAGTCTACTGTTGTATACCTATTCTTAAATTCAGATTTTCATATTTTATCAAAGAAGACATTTCACCTGCTATTTCCAGCTCTGATTTATATCAGCTCAGGTTCTAAACTGCATCTTCACCAACCTTTAAGGTTTATTTCAATAACAAAAGCTTCAACCATCTTAATCTTCACGCTACACCTCAAGCCTGAATCCCTCCACATTGAAGTTTGCCAATAATTTAATCAAAAAACACAACATGCAAGGATAATGCGTCCTATGGACGTGAGGCAACAGTTACAGGAATAGCCCTTAATGTGAGGGTCCAGATCTTATCGCTGTGGCTACGCTGCGCTGATGCATACAGCGCATCGCAGCCGCCTGTGACTTTGCTCGTGCGTGCATGTGTGCGGTGGACCACTTCAAATGGAGCAGTTGTTTAGTTTCGCCTACGCAGCAGGAACATTAGGAACACAGCACTGAGGAGGATGCAGAGGGTGCAGACGGTGGGAACGACAATCTCGGTCACCATCTCCATGTGACTGGTCAGGGGGTCTGCAACACATAACCACACAGGCCATTAGCCAGCACCTGCACACCAAAAGCCGTTTTATATCACAAACATCTGAATGATAAAGCATGTCTCCTCTCTGCTCGGTTTAATACGGGTTTGATCTTTTGTCTATTTGTGCAAACCTATAAGCTGTAACCTATAACGTGTAACCTACACTCAGCTCAAGTAGTTAACCATATTTTGCAGTGCATTTCAGTCAGCTGTGTGAGTCTGCGTGTGCGCTTACCATAAATAAGTCTTAGAATATTTGCAGCAGTAGTCCGCTGTTCCTCTATTAAAAAGAGAAGATTGCCGAGAGTGATTTAAGTCGCGTTAACTCTTTGGGGACTGCAGTGCCATTTAATACAGGCAAATCCTTGAAGAGAAACATTTTTCTAGAAAAAGGGTCTCTGTTTTAATCAGAAGTTCGGCTTGAGAGAGTGTAAGATGTTTCATAAAGCAGCGTGTGAATTCGACACGCCTCTTATTTCGCCTCTGTAGGGCACTGCACATGTTCTGCTTATAACCTTCCTTTGCTTGCCATTTTCAATACAGCAGAAAGTATAATCAATGAGTTTCTTATAAGCAGCCATCTTACGCACGACGTCAGCACCAGGCATTTGGGTTGAGCTGTCAGAGGTAAGGAAATGGGATCAGGAACCAAACACATTGTACTGCTACCACTGACTCAGATGTTAAATCCCCGGTTTTAATGACCCGGATCTTTCCTTGAGGCACATGTGTTTTCTAATAAACTTTGTTGACACATGTGACTTTAAAGTGGAACAGCAGTGGAGAAGAGCACGCCTTGTGTTGCAGGATACGCAACATCTTCAACCAGTGCACAGCAGTAACATGCAGAACAGGCCGGCCTGGATGGCTGGGTCAGCTCCAGGCTGTTTTTTTTTAAAGCAGAGCATCACTGGCGGAGCCCTTGTGGGGTCCTGCACTGGAGTTTGGAGAACACATCTTAGAGCTTCAGTGGGTGATACTCTGACAGGATGTTATGGAGAAGCACAACCCATAAAACCACAGTAAACAGAGGAACCACAGATACCGCACACTCATTTGGCAGAGACACATTCTTTTGTGCTCTTCATAAATCACTCTTCCCCTCATTTTCTGCAATCATATGAAGGACAAGATCATCCACCTTTTTGGCTGATTTGAAAGTCCTAGTCAATGGCCCAATTGAAGCCATTCTCTGCTCTGCCATGTTTACTTCCCTTCCTGTTTTCATTTTAAAACCTGGCCAAGCCAAGAAGAAAACATCGACTAATTAGACCCTAGTACCTAAACTTCATCATGCACCGGCCAAAGCTTTTGCATTTCTGTATGGTTCTTATTTTCCTGGGTTTTTCTTCTAGCTGGAGGAGCAAACAAGAAAAATCCTGTTAGAGGCTGCAGTACCTGACCTGCTGCTGTCACGGCATGCGAGACGAAGGACTGAAAGGCAGGCGTCAGACAAAAAAGGGGGTTTATTTAACTGAACGGAAACAGGGAAACAAATGAGACCATGAGGGGTCAAGACAAGAAGGTGGGTACAGGGAAGGACACAGGGAGACAGGGGACGCAACGTCAATGACCAGGCTGGGGCTGGTGAGACAGATAGATACAAACACTAACAAGGGACAACAAGGGACAGGCGTGGCTCATCAGAGCAAGGTCAGGGGGAGACTGGAGGATCAGGTGGAAATAATGGGCAGGACATAACAGACTTTTCTGTTGGGTTGTCCATTAACCAATTAGTTAAATATAGCTTCCTTTAGGAATCTCATTGGCCAATCTTCCATTAACTTCATTTGAAGGAAGAATATTTTCTGCTTGCCCCAGCTAATTCTGGTCTTTGTACCAGGACAAAGGGTAAGTGCTGCAGTGATGTTCACTGACCTGTAGCTAACAGCTGGTTGCTGGTTGAGCAGGTTTCGGTCGCCTTCCTCTTCCAGCTCTCAACCTGCACCAACCATTTGACATACATCATTCATTCAGTATCCAGAACCAGATAATAAGCAGCCCATTAGTCTCCGGTTGAGGATTCTCACTCCAATATTTACAAAAAATCTGCCGGTTTTTGATTCTCTAAAAGCAACGGCACATAAATGCAGAGATGGAATGACCTGTCATATACGCTCATGGGTATTCTGTGCTTCCAGAATGCGATCCTTTCTGCTTGATTGATTTTTAATCACTGCTGGACTCATTTGGTCTTTGGGCCGTTTGGTCATTTGTTCTGTTTCGGCACCTGAGTCGTTTCTCCTTTCCTCCTGACAAATGCTCACCTCTCTCTGACTGGGGAAGCCATTGGCGCTGATGATCCGTTTGTAGTACTGGACTGAGGCCTTGGGGTATCGTGGCTTGTTTTTGTTCCTGAAGTCCACGTAGTACAGCCCGAACCGCTCAGAATAGCCTTCATCCCACTCAAACTTATCCAACAGGGACCATGCCGTGTAGCCCTTGACGTTCACGCCGTCCTTGATAGCTACATGTTAGAGAACACAACAAGATGACCTTTACTGTTTCAATTTTATATAGTGCCCATGCTGTTTAGATCTGTTTAACCTTCATGGTTATGTTCTCTCATATGACCTTGAGCATGACATCACTCCTGAAAATCCACCGTCTTGACCGGAGATGCCTCACTGCATTTGAGAGAATACTCGCCTTTCAGCAACTCGTTTATGTAATCCCTGTGGTACTGAATCCTCCAGTCATCGCACAGCTCTGTGCACAACGTCTTCTCTGACACGCCATTCTCTGTCACATAGATCATGGGGTTTCCATACTGGGTCTGAGCAAAAGATGATGTCCATAAAAATGAAAACGCCTCAGTTTAGGAATCCCATACTGCAGCTTATGAATGTAAGATGTCTATGGTATATCAGATGGGATGTCTATGGTATGTCAGATGGGATGTCTATGGTATGTCAGGTGGGATGTCTATGGTATGTCAGGTGGGATGTCTATGGTATGTCAGGTGGGATGTCTATGGTATGTCAGGTGGGATGTCTATGGTATGTCAGATGGGATGGAAACACAGTCCATCGGGCTGAGGCAGAGAGAAGGCATTGGTGCCCCGTTATAAACCTTAACAAAGTTGAGCAGCCGTCGGAAGCCCCAGGGTACGGAGTAGAGCCACTCTGATCCAGGGTCGGGCCAATGAGGGTCGACAAGCTCAGCCAGGTCTCGGTCAGTGAAGTAACTGTTGCCACGGCTAGAAGGAAAGTTCTTCTGTGTGATGTACCGGGTGGTGAAGTGGCCCACACCCAAAAAGTCGCTGGTGCCCTTGATGTAGCTCTTCTCCTGGGCCGAGAAGGTTGGCAGTCGTGAACTTCCCAGACCCTGCTCAGCGCTCTTCCTCCCTGAGTGTAAAGAACAAGCCTCAGGATGAGAACCATCATATCCTGGACCATTCTGGAGTCCATTGAAGCCTTACTTTCTCTTGCAGACCTTACTTGACTCTCTGCAGACCTATGACTGGATGTCAGAGTGAGATATGACTTGCCAATGTAGTCTTTCATCACTTGTGGATAGTCCCCATGAAAGATGGGTGTTGCAAACCAGCCCATGGAGAACTGGACATATCGTTCAGCTGCTTCGATGTCCTTCAGATTAGTGATATCAACGGGTTCCCCCCAGTCCCCAGACAGAGAGATCCCAAGCAGGCCTGCGGGGAATGATGGTGCACAGTCTTTTGCTTTTTACATCACTAAGGTTACTCCTGCTGGTACCCGCTATCCTCACTTCTGGGCAGCAGTTATCAGTGAGGTACTTCTCTAGTCTCCCCACATGACCTATAAAGGGCAGTAAGGATCGTTTACCTTTTTGTTTATGCCGCCACTGGGTGTCATATGTGTGCCAAACCTTAGCATGCGCCTGGGAACAAGAGAAAACGGATAAGTGGGGTTTTCTTTTTTTAACACACTTCTGAGTCAGGTGCCCAGTGCTAAAGGCGTCTTCTACTGAAGTTGGTCTCATGCTGCCACTGTGCTCAGGTCAGAAGGTCTGTGCTTTTGATCTAAAGGGGCCGCTTCAGGGATCGCTCACCTTGATCATGTGGTGCGCCACCCTGTAAGGCCCCGTGCCCCTCAGCTGCAGCCCAGGCGCGTGTTCCCCCGTCTCGTGACCTTCCACGGCTGTAGACTGCAGCAGACACACGAGCCGTTACCGTGGGAGATACAGCCGTCGCTAAGCGAGGTGGCCATTCTGGTTTAAAAAGGAACATACCCACGGATTGTTGAATGTGATCCAATACTTGACTCGGTTTCCAAACCTTTCAAAGCATAGGTTGGCAAAGTCGTTGAAGTAACTGACCATGCTGATGTTCTGCCAGCCTCCGTATTTGTCTTGTAACACCTAAGCAAATAGACCCCGATATGAAGGGACTGTTTTGTTGTATAACGCAATCAAGCTGCACCTATTCTAGCGTGCTGTTTGCAAGCCGAGGTGTGGATTACCCGTGGAAGATCCCAGTGGTACAGCGTGACAATGGGTGTAATTTTGCTCTCCAGGAGAAGATTGATCAGATTGTCATAGTACTCTATTCCTTTCTCGTTGACATGGTCCGCTTGGAAAAACAAGATTAAATTAGTTCTGCCTCCAGAATCTGTCACAGCTTTTAATATTACAGATGAAGCGTTCTTTTGACAATGCCGTATCTTACATTTGATTCCAGTGGGTATGAGTCGGGGCCAGGAGATAGAGAAGCAATAGTGGGTCAGCTTCAGATCTTTCATTAAGGAAATGTCATCCTGCAAAGGGAAACAGACAGACAGCTATCAGTTGTCTTGAAGCTTTAAGAGCCTCCCCTTTAAGAGCCACCCCTTTAAGACTTGCCTCTTTAAACAGTTGGCTGAAGCAGCTGTGGACCTAGGAGCTTGTGTGGGTCTTTTATGTCTGTAATGTCTTTAATGTGGTAACACGTACATCAGGAATGCATCTGGGAACCGGAATGCGGCTCTCTTTATTGGAACTCTTGTTACTGTTCTGGCTGGTTTTCCTTTACCCGCCGACCACAGACGGCTTAGGAGGCCTGAGAGCCTTTCGGGACCTCAGCTTTACTCACCTTGACTTTGTAGTACCCTTCACAACTGGAGTCTCCCGTGTCGTTCATGAGTATTTTCCCCTTCTTGTGGGAAAACACGTCCCAAATGCTCATGCCTTTGCCATCCTTGTCCCAGGCTCCCTCTGTCTGATAGGCTGAGCTGCCGGCTCCCCATGAAAATCCTTGTAAAGATTATAAGGGTGAGGGTCACTAGGGAGGATAAAGGACCCTCTGTACTCATACAGCCCAAGGTGGGATCAAAACCCCCTATGCCAGGGTGATTGGGTTACCCACTAAGCCACCAAGACCACATCATGTTGGGTCCAAACCCCCCAACCCAGGGTGATTGGGTTACCCACTGAGCCACCAAGACCACATCATGTTTGGTCCAAGCCCCCGATCCCAGGGTGCTTGGGTTGCCCACTGAGCCACCAAGACCAGATCATGTTTGGTCCAAACCCCCCGGCCCAGGGTGCTTGGGTTACCCACTGAGCCACCAAGACCAGATCATGTTTGTTCCAAACCCCCCAGCCCAAGGTGCTTGGGTTACCCACTGAGCCACCAAGACCACATCATGTTTGGTCCAAACCCCCCAGCCCAGGATGCTTGGGTTACCCACTGAGGCACCAAGACCACATCATGTTTGGTCCAAGCCCCCGATCCCAGGGTGCTTGGGTTGCCCACTGAGCCACCAAGACCATATCATGTTTGGTCCAAACCCCCCAGCCCAGGGTGCTTGGGTTACCCACTGAGCCACCAAGACCACATCATGTTTGGTCCAAACCCCCCAGCCCAGGGTGCTTGGGTTACCCACTGAGCCACCAAGACCACATCATGTTGGGTCCAAATCCTTTCCTACTAGCTTTTAACTCCTATCCTAATCTTATACTTGTTGTTAAATTTAAAACTGCAAAATTGCAACAACATGGAAAAGCAGCTCAGACTGAGCTGTGGCAGAAGCTAATGACAGCATGAGCAGGATTTCTATGAGGGTGGCATTTTGCCAGGTGCCATACCGGTCGGAAAAGTGCCGTAATAGAAGGCTCCCCACTCGTTCTTGGTCCACTGAAAGTCTTCAGCCGCAGACAGACACAGCACCAGCATGAGCACATGGCACCGGCCCGGGACTCCGTGCCGCAGCATGGTGCCCCTCGCCAGTCCGCCGCACCTGCACACAGGGGACCTTCAGAGGCTGCTCCTTCACACCAGAGGACCGCAGCCGGTGAGGTGGCTCCTCAGAGACCTGACACTTATCTGCATGCTCAGCAAAAGGCATTTTCACACTACATGCATCCAGCTTCCACCGATCATCCTTGAAATGTTCCCTTCACCTGATTTGTTTCTAGGTTTCCTCTTACCTCCATTGATGTCCCCTTCAGAAACTTAAGAGATGAAATTGATAATTGATTTGCAACCAAACTGCACACAGACAGGTTGTATGTTGAGATGGATTTATGTCGGAATAGGATGATGACACTGACTTTTAGGTGCGAGAATGAGGCTGAGAGTTGCGTGTGAGGCTTGGGTGGTCGTATAGTGCAGTGCTTTCTGGCGGCACTGTACAGCGTGCGGCACGCACTGGCTAGCGATTGCTGGGCGTATATTTACTTTTATATTTATATTTACTTTATTCTTAAAAAATTGTCGTAAGTCACATAGGCTGTAAGTCGGGACAGTCTGCGCATAGAGCAGAATGGCATGGAATGCTGTAAACCACAAACCAAAAAGAGTGACAGCCACGTCACACACGTCACACGTTGTCACGTTACATGCCACACACCCCAAGGACACCTTTAATTTGTGAAAACGAGAGTGCTGTCTAGAAAATGATGACAGAAAATGGGTGCAAAATTAGATTTGCTGCTTTTAGAAGCAAGAGACAATGACAGCTTCAAAGGCTAGAACTGAAAGCCTGTGAAATAAAAATGATTAAATACGTAAAGCAAGATTTTATACTTTGTTTCCATCATTATATAAAAACTACTGGAATATTTCCTGATATTTTGACCCCATGAAATTGACAGTGATACTAAATGGAAAACTAGTATGTATTTCTGATGCATTTGCCATGAAAATAACATGCAATAACAATAAAAGTGCTCTCTGATAAATTAGCAGAAGTGAAAGCAGCACGTGGTATACAGTCTCCCTGCCCTTCGCTCACACTCTACCTGTCAGACGGTCTGCGTTTGTTCGGAAATGTGGCGAGGCGATTCCACTGCCCCCTGCTTCATCTGGCTTCATGGACCACAGGTGCCGCTTGTCAGAACGCCTGCCGCTGCTGGCAAACAAGGCAGAAACGTCCAGCGGATACCGGCGTCCCATGACTGGAGCTCTGCACCCCTTTCAGATTCAACGGAGTGTGAGCGCAAATTTGCTGGGCCAAACAAATCTCATTGAAACAGGGGCTACACTCTGCCAGCAAAGCCGATCGCTGGGACAAAGGCTCACGGCAAGAGCGCCGGATTGGCTACTCTACATGACAAGGCAATTGGCCATAAAAAGGACAGTGCAGAGACACAGGGAGAACACGCAAACCGCACACACACACGCACACACACACACAGAGCGTGTCAGACCCCAGCCTGGAGCTGTGAGACATCATGCTACCCCATTTGCACAAAATAATAATCCTTTAATTATTGTGAGTAATAAGTGTGTAATAAATGCATTGATTCCAAAATTGTTTTTAAAATGTTAATATTCCCAATTAAAAATGCTGTTCTTTTAAAAAAACAGAATATTAAAATCTTTAAGGAATTTCTTGCCCTGTCATATTATTATAATTCCCAAACATTTTTTAGACAGATACTGATATTGGAGGTAAAAATAGAAATGAAACAGGAGCAGTAGTGGTGCCATGCAGAACACTGCTGACCTCCAAATGACCTTTTCAGACACACTGAGCAGAGTGGAGGCCTGTTTCAGAGATACTGAACAGAGAGGAGGCCTATCTCAGAGGCACTGAGCAGAGTGGAGGCCTGTCTTGGAGGCACTGAGCAGAGTGGCGGCCTGTCTCAGAGGCACAGCCTCTTGGAAAGATGCGCTTCTTTAATGTCACCTGACCTGCCCTGGGCAGGTCCTCCATGCAGTGTGAATGCGGCTGCCATCCAAAGGTGCCGCTCATTGCGGGAGCTTGTTTGAAAAGTGCTGAATCGCTGGGGGAAAATGTCTGTGCTGCACTCCTGGTTGGGCATGCACCCAGGCAGCGTCACGCCCCAGGCGAACTCGCAGCGTGGGGCAGTGTGGGGCAGCGTGGCGCAGGTTTTGCATGCAGATGAGTGGTAGGAGTGTTATGCACCTTCTGGTTCCCCAACATTACCTGTATCTGTGGTATTTAGGGGACCGCTTTCCTGACAAGGCAGAGCTAACATGGACATCTTCACCAAGGTACCAGATCAGGCCAACAATACAGGTATCTCCTGATCACTGTGTCCGAGGACCCCAGATCGCTGTGTCCCTGTCCCAGGTCCCCAGGGAAAACTTGGGAGATCCTCGGGCCACTGACCCCTGGACCTGATATCCAGCTTAGGTGATGTCCTTGGTGACACGAGCAATGTCCATCGGGAGTGACAACAAAGCCTGTTTGACAGGGACATCCCAAGAGCGATTCCCAAAAAAATGAAGGGCAACCTTTGTCATGTGACGCTAAAATGAGAGTCAGGTGACGTGGAGGACATGAAATCCAAATACACTGAGCAGGAAGTGGTTCAGGGCAGCCTGAGGCTCCTCATGTTCTCCTGTTTCCTGAAATGTCTACACATCTGGCGGACTGTCGAGTGCTTGTTAATGCCTGATCTTACGCCGGGAAAGAGTGATGTGACTTATGGAAAACACACAGCTTCTAACCCTAACTTCCATATCATTCACCATGTGTGTGTGTTTTTGGTTGGTTTTTCCCACAGCATGACTGTGCACGTTGAGAATGGAGTGCAGCTCCATACTCACAAACTTCTAGGTTCCTCCAGGTCTTTCATGCTATTTGGGACAAATGTACAGTCTTGAGTATTTTACAGTATTGATTGATATTTCACCACCAGCTGAAAAACCAGGAACTGTGAGATGAACAGTAAGAACAACAGAGCCCTTGATTCCATTTTTGTTTGAACAGCAGTGTTTAGCTTTTTAATTTATTAATGAAGATTAAATTAACATAACTTCACTTTGTGCCACAATCGCTGTGGGTTACTGGCCAGATACACACCAACACTTCCTCTTTTGTGGAATCTGGATCGATGGTGGAATATGGGGCCCACGGCATGGTGCGGAACACACGTGGCAGTGTGTCACAGCCCCGTGGGTAATAATAGTAACACAATAAATGTATTTGATTTCCCCCATTCCTTAATGGATGGGATGGTTATTCCATCCACAGAAAGTGATCCTATACTAACTCTGTCCTCCTGGCCACTTCAACTCCAGAGTTATGCTACGTAAAGAGCCTCTCCTGCAGAGGTGGAAAGTTCAGGATAAAAAGTCAAAATCCAGACCCAGATTTTGTTTCAATCAACCAGCTGAGTATAAAGAGTCACAGTGACACAGTAGTTATACCTGGTCGGTTGAAACAAAATCTGCTTCTGGATTTTTGCTTTCCAGAGCTGAACTTTCCCTCTCTGGTTCTGCCAGGCCTTCACATCCATGCCGAAGTCCCTCATCACACCCTTGCTGCGGGAATTGTGACATCAGCACTGAAATGTGGCTCCAGAGACACTGCTCTTAAATAACCAGTAAACACCTCTCTGCGTTTGGCTGCTTAGGTCTCACTCTTATCCATGTTACTCCAGTGCTTCATTGTCAATGCAGTCTGGCGTGTTACTGGAGGACTGTCCTCCTCCTCGCGTTGCTTAGGAAGCCGTGTAGAAGCCTGATTCTGAGCTGAGACCATCGGCTACTTGCCCCCATACTTCCCCTGTATCTCACATGTGCTGTCGCCCCCGTATCTGAAAGGCTTTTCTTGACTGTGCACAGACAGGTGGGATGCAAGATCTTTGGTAATTAAGTGTGTATTTTCAGCATGCATTTAAGGTATTTTTGTCAAGAACATTTATCAGGATTAATGACACGGCTCCTGATGATGGCCGAGTCTCCTATTGGCGGGACAGCGCTCCCAGGGCACAGCTGTCAGTGAGCGGCATGAAGAGGGCACTTCCTTTCACCCCCAGGGCGGGGCCTGAGGCTGCGTTTTCCCATTATCAGCCATACTGGGGTGCGTGACGTGGAGGGAAACACAAACAGCATGAGATCAGCTGCTCTGCAGCCACATCCAGGTCTTAATTCCTCTGCTGAAGATGATTTGGTTTGAAGAAGGATGGATGGTTTGGAGAAGTTTACTGATGCCCCAGGTAACCAAAAACCCAGCAGAAGAGATCCTCACTTCTGCATTTTGCTCAAAATCATTTTCATTTTTAAAATAACTTTTAATTACTTTAATCAATGTGTAGAAAATGATCTGCACTTTTCTTGCAGTTTTAATATACTCCTAAACCCCAAGGTCATAAACCTGTCAAAAAAAAATGAGCTGGACTTTACTCTTAAATTCTACTTTTATCCTTGACGAAATTCTTGCTGATGATGTGATTTATACGCATAGAGCTTTTGCCCAAAGCGACTGGCTAATCGCAGCTTTACGAACCCAAAGGGCATCGACAGAAACCCAAAATCACTAAATCAAATGTAGTGCAGCCCTTTACATGCCAGACTGAAATATCATTCTGTACAAAAGAAATACTATATGCTGTATCAAACTGTACAGCAATTTAACATGCATATTATATAAATGTAAGGCATGGAAGTTTAGGTGAATGAAGGCAAATATCCAAGGAACAATGGACTAGAAATTCAGTGGGTTACAGCTTTTTAAACAGGCACTGAGAATGACCTCTATTCCCCCAGCACCAGGGGCAGTGTCAAAATAAAAGTCACAACGTGTATAATGCTATCCATTGATTGTCTGTAACCTCTTACCCTATTCAGGGCCACGGGGGGGTCTGGAGCCTGTCCTGGAGGAGATCCTGGGGAGAACATGCAAACTCCGCAGTGCTAACCACTGCACCATCATGCATGTATGATGGACTTTGGGTAACAGACCCAAAACTACACGCTTCACACTATAGCTGTTTAAAATAAATTACATTATATAAAAACAACTGGAATGCCATGCAGGGTTTACCCCCCCCCCCCCCAGTGTGCCCTGTGCTGCCTGGGACAGGCTACAGGCCCCACCCCACCCCCCCACAACCCTGCCCAGGATAGAAGGTCAGAGGATGGCTGGATGGATGATAAATTATAATGTAATATTAATTCCCAGTACCAGGCTTTCCAAAATACACCATTTAGTCAATTTAATTCCATAAAGCAGAGTAAAATGATTCGGAATGACAAAGGATGGTGTAACGAGGATTTAATGAGGCAGTACCCTGGACCACAGCACTGCGGTCAGCTTCAGTCGCCTCTCAGAGTGTCACATCGCTCTACATGCCTATATAGGCTGGCTGTACACCGAACACGCTCATACTTCTGGATAAGTTATTACATTTCATAGTGTGCGTGTGTGAGATTGTGTGTGAGCGAGGTGGGGGGGGGGGGGGGGGGGCAGCGTGCCAACGACCGGCTGCATCGCGCAAACCGCTCCGTCTTATCTAGCCATTGCGTGCAATCTCTGTGCCCTGCGTGCGAGCGCGATGCGGCCTGAATGCACGCAACTGGGCCGCGCAGGCTGCTGCAGATCGGCGGGGAGCGCGAGAGGTGGGGTGGCCATGGTTTTGGAAGACGTGGAACTGGGCTGTGACTGGCCTGGAGGAGCCCTGTGCCACGGCTGACAGATTTATGTCTCCTGGTGCCGAAAGACAGCTCCTTTGATTCGGTGTAACGGTGACCCCCATGCTGCATGGCGGCTCACTTTTAGTTCAGCCGATAATGATTACAGCCGGTGCCGATGTTATCCGTTAAAAGCACGAGAGAAGCCAAAAGGCTGAGGTTGGTTACATGGCACTCTGTCTTTGGGAATGTGATGTAGACGGCATCTTTGAGAGGCGCGGGACTCGCCGTGGATCTGACTGCAAAGCCACGCAAGTTCCTGAACAAAGCTGCTGCGATCTGCGGGTAACGTGTGACGGTGACGTGTGATGGTGACTGCGGCAAAGTGCTCTGATGGCTTTAGCACCTGGCCTAGCTCCGCATGTGTTAATGCCCGCATTTAAGGCCCCCCCGCAGCCGCTGCCTGGCCGGCACGTCGGGGTCGGAGACGGTGACGTGTGGCCGCTTAGCCGCTGTTGAGCAGGAATGGAACACAAGCAGAAAAGTAGCAGCTGGGACCTCAGCTCATCTCTGCAGCGGCTCCCTGTCGGAGGAATGCAAAGCTGGGTGTGTTTGAGGGGCCCTGGGAAGGGTAGGGGGGGGTGCGGGGGGCAGAGAGCCAAGGCAGGGGGGGCAAGTGGGACTGACCTCAGGACAGTGTAGTCAGGAAGTTATGACTCAATTCTGAGATGTGGATTTTAAAATTCCTTTTACTGCGCACATAAAACATTTTCTCAAATTTCTAATGTACTCTTGTACAACAGGGGAGAATTGAAGGGACAGAAAGGGGAGACGCAAGAGCGGAAAACTCATAAACCGTGACACATTCCTCATCTACTTTGTTTATTGCTCAAGATGTTTTCCAACAAGCGGGAGAGAGACAGCAGAAAGGTGAAAATGCAAACTGTCCTGTCAGGTCACTGCATTCAGTGGATGTCTACATTCAGTGGATGTCTGCATTCAGTGGATGTCTGCATTCAGTGGATGTCTGCATTCAGTGGATGTCTGCATTCAGTGGATGTCTGCAGACAGGTTTAGATGGACAGTCTTGCAGGTTAGTGTTCGTGTGCTCGAAGGAAAGGACAGAAACTGTGGTTTTTAATCCTGTTGTTCTTTTGGCGGGCCGAGGAAGCCGCAGTATTCCTGAGGGTCAATCTGTCTACCTCCCAGGGAATGGAGCGGACAGGCGGTGGGATCCCAATGTCCAGGATGTTCCCTCTTGGCAAAGTCCGGCATTATTTTAAGAGGAAAATGTGATTTGTGGGAGGTGAGACGTGCTGGTGTGCAGGGACCTTTTGTTTCTGTGAGCTGTTTCAGCCATTGCCTTTCCTGTTTGGACATCCTACACACAAACACACACACAAACGCACGTTTACCTTCCTGCGCAATGATTCTCATTTTAATGCAATCGATGACTTTTCACCGCATTCCAGCAAAATTGAAAAAAACTGATGAATGTCTGCCTTCCTTTGTGGGGTCAGTTTATTTCCCATAAGATAAAAAAACAAGTATTCGTCACGTTGTGGGGACATTTGGTCAACCACAAAGTAAGGTATATCTGGACCACACACACACAGACACACATACACATACACACAGACACAGATACACACACATACACCACAGTGTTGTTGAGGTTTCCATGCATAGATAGTAGGAGATTAACTATAAAAGACCAGGCACGACTCAGCACTTCCTGGTGCAATTTGATTGGCAGATCGGTGTCAGCTGATACACAGCATTCAGGGGGGTACTCAGCCAGCGTTCAGGCAACACTCAGCCAATGCTCAGTGTCCAGTCTGCTGGCTTTGACTATTGCTTTTATATGTATTTCATTTGTACGTGTGTTTGTGATGGATAAATATTCCCTGTGACCCCCTCCAAAGAAGAGCGGGTTTATAAACGTGAGATCAGTTCGGACTTAGCAGCCAAGTCCAAAACCCCACAGTCTGGTTTAAGCCGGGGGGGTGGAGGAGGGCATTCAGAACAGAATGGAGAACTAAATGGAGCGGGGATGTCGATCCAGTCCAGCTTGACAGCGGCCCGGCGCTGTGGCCACAAAGGCCCCCGGTGAAGGCCGCTATAATTAGAGCAACTTTCTTGTGTTATGGGAAGTGAGCTTTTGGAAAGCCTCAGAATGCCCCCCCCCCCCACGCCAGCGCCTGTCTAGCTGTTGATGTGATGTGGTCTGGAAAGATGAGAGTGATCCTGGAGCCGGGTCTGGGACATGGTCGGCCACAGAAGAAATTTTAAGCTAATTGACCACCCATGTTGTGTGGCCTGTGCCCCCCCCCCCCCTCCTGGGAACTTGTCGGGGGTGCGGAGCGTGATTAATGACGCGTTCGGCGCTCCCTGGCTCGGTCCTGCCCCTCCTCGGTCCACGCGGCTCCGTCCGGGTTTCCTCCACGGTCGCCTCGTTCCCAGCTCTGCTCCCAGGCTCCCGGATGGAGCGGCTGCCGGCGCCGGACCCACGGGACGGAATTCCAGCCTGATTCCTTTTTCTTTTGTTTTCTTTTTTTACCGCTCATTAGACGAGCCGCCACACCCTTTTCCTTTTGTGTGGATGTATTTATCTGAAACAGATGCCAAGCTAGCAGGCGGTGTTCAGTGTTCAAGAACATTGTGGGGCCATGTTTGCGGCTCCTCTCTCTCTCTGTGGGTATGCGCAGGGACTTTTCTCAAGGCAGCAGTAGCTGGTCAGCCTAAGACTATGCAGCTCAGAAGGTGCAAAATGAAATGCAGTGTTTGTGGCAGAGGACTGGTGGAGTTGGATTTATATGGTTGAAATGGTATGACAGAGGTGGGGGGGGGGGGTTGGTATGGCGCTCCTGTGGAGCTGGTGGAGAGGTGTGGGGGGGTGGAATTCGGTGAGCCGCTCCTATCATTCGATCTAAATCAAATATTGCCCGAGGGGGCTGGGACATTCCAGACATTCCCGTCAGGGGGAGCGAAGCACACAAACCCGGTTCCCATATTTTGTCCCAGCTGTCATGCCCCCCCACCAGTTTCCCAGATTGCCGGTGCACAGGGCCGTGCAGGCAGAGCAGAGGGCCGTGCAGGCAAAGCAGAGGGCCGGGCAGACAGAGCAGAGGGCCGTGCAGACAGAGCGCTGGGCCGTGCAGGCAGAGCAGAGGGCCATGCAGGCAGAGCAGAGGGCCGTGCAGGCAAAGCAGAGGGCCGGGCAGACAGAGCAGAGGGCTGTGCAGACAGAGCGCATGGCCGTGCAGACAGAGCGCTGGGCCGTGCAGGCAGAGCAGAGGGCTGTGCAGGCAGAGCGCAGGGCCGTGCAGGCAGAGCAGAGGGCCGTGCAGG